GGGACTTCACCGACTTCCATAGGCAGTACTGTAGCAAACCTCCCTAGACTGACTCTCCTCATGAGAAGAACCCGAGGAGGACGTGCTTCCTGTGTGACGCAGAAACAATAAAGGCAAGTGATGTGACGGCTGCTTGCAAAGAAAAGACCTTGCTGGAATACAATTTTTTTTTTTCTTTCTGGACATTCGGGCTTACTGTCCAAAGGAAGACTAAAGCAACTGATGAGAGGAAAGAGACTATGACAAAACATTCTTAAAGTATCTGACCGTTAACCTAATTCATTTTATTAATAATTTATCGAGTCATAAATCAGAAATATATTCCTAAAGAGTAATTACTGACACCAGCACGTCAATTGGCATGTCAGTCATGAGCAGTGGGGAAGACCCCGAGCAGCAGTAGGTCCCCCACTCCTTTGCATACGGCAGTTCAGTGCGCAACAGCTAAGACATGCACCAAGTCAAGACTACACGGTACACAGGAAAGCATTCACACCTCCATGGAGCAGCAGTGGAGAACCAAACTGGTCAGCTGTATGATTAATCCAGCACTTGAAGCCAACAGACCAGGACGTTCAGAAAGATTCTTAAAGGCAACCTCTTGAGTCCTTGCTGGGGCGCTCAAACGCATAGGTTGATTTTCAGATTAACTGAACACCAGCAGCTGGAAATTTCTGTCGGGACTTTCTACAGTCTGAAACGATTACCAGCAGTTCCCACGAGTAAGCACGCTACGGGGGAGGTGTGACATCCATGGGAACAGAATTTACTCCATGTGTGCTGGCTTTGTCCGAGAGAGCAAGGAGGTGGCAGTAGGACACACCGACGCCCAGGGCAGGGTCAAGAGGGGTGAAAAGAATATCACCCATAATCTCAAGTGAGGCTCAGTCAAAAAGGACTAACACACATCCTGCTAATTTTCATGAGGCTTAAACTCCTAACTCAGAAGCGCACATTTTCAACAGGAAGCTCTCCTTGCTCAGCCTGTTTCGAAAGCAGGCCACTGAGCTGGTTCACCCTCATGTTGGCACAGGGGACAGATAGCCTACGTGGTATTACAGGAAGGTGCCTTCAAAGAAAGCATTTCTGTGATAGAGCAGGAACTACTGAACGCTCATTCCTCTTGAAGAACTTAGACCACCGATTTGCGCATGAAAAGAGAGACCAAGAAACCTAATCACAGATAGCACGTTTCTAAAAACCTTGGTCACACACCGTTGCAGTGTTCACTGTTTTCTTTATATATAGTTAGGCCGACGGTGTTAAGCTACTTGAAGGCACGATTCGTTCACTGCTATTGTTTCATCTGCTTTCAGCTACGCTTCCTACATTGCCATTCCAAGAATCCAAGCTGACCATGGAGAATGAGAGAAGGTGAGAGAATGGGAATGCAGATTGTATAAAACAAAAGAAGCAGAGAGCAAAACATGGAATAAAGAAAGAGTGGTAGTAGTGGAAAAAGAGGGGATAGGACAGAAGAACAATATAGAATAAACAGGTATTTCCCCTCAACTCTGCAGCCCACTGATAGATTTCTTCTAGGGGGCGCTTCTATTGTCCGTAAAATAACAGGAAATAGGCTCTAAGCAAGCTTAGGAGTGGTTAAGGGCATTTGACATAACCATACAACACCACGGCTTGGTCTATCCACCTCATTAGGCCTTGTTGCCGCTGCCATTCCCTGCCTTTTACCAGGAGGGCCCATAACCCCAAGGCTACACCCACCTGCAATATGGCACCAATGCAGCCAAAGCCTCCCCTAGGGCACAATCAGATCTGCTGTACAGCTTAATTAGTCTGCTCTCCTCAGCACTGCACTGCCTGAGGCTTAGAAACAGCCTTTACAGTGCAACTCCAACATTAATTTCTTCCTTTCCATCCTACAGGAGTTACGAGTTACTCTTTTTACCGGGTTACTGACATCCTCCTTTTGCTTTGACTGCCACCTCCCTTCTCCATAGGAAAAGGGCTACCAGTGTGGCAACTGCGTCTTACACTCCCCTCTCCATCACAGTTACCCACTGGTACCACTCAAAGCAGGCACTGGAAAGCAGAAACCTCTGTGCATACTGTGCCCTCCAACCCCTCTCCCCGCCCAGGGACATCCAGCCCCCTGCATTAACATTAAAACACACACCAGCCTTCAAAATCACAACAGCTCTGACCTTATTTGCACCGGATCCTCTGAAGCCAATTGCAAAAGAGAAGCAAACAGTGAGGAGTTTATGAAAGTAATTCACAGGCCGTACACTGGCCTTGTCTTTAGAGAAGCTTCCTATCAAGTTAACTCCAAACAGACTTAGCACCCTATGCAGCTCTGCATAGGTGCAGGCAGGACATGAAGAGAATCGATCTCTGCGGGGAGTGATTCTCAAGCCCTTTCTCTGGGGGAACAGGCTGTTTGGGATAATTTCTCTTCTCAGGTCTTGTCAACGTTTACATCTGCTGGATACAAGAGAGGCTCAATTGATCCATCCGTCCAAAACATTCAAGGCAGCACACTCTCGTCCTTCCAAGGGAGCCAGCATTTTCTTGGGTTCTGATTTCGCCCTTGGCAGTGACTCCTTGGAAGGCCTTTCTCAGCCTCAGATCTCCCATCTGTTTTGCTTGCCTCTCTAGGAGGCTGTGGAGCTCACGGGATGTATATAAAGGGCTCCAAGATTTGTTATATAAAAGAGAATGAGAGAGCAATATACCGGCTTGTGCTCTGGCTTGCCTTTATGGCAGTATTTTTAAAGATGTGCACCTAGGCAGAGTCTGCTAAAGATGCAGTTTGACAAAAATTTAAACCCAACAAAAACAGAACGCATTTGCACACTCAATTCTTCATTTCTGTTTTCCGAGATGAATAGAGAATAAAAGACCATGGATTTTGGAGTCACCTGCTAATGTGTAGATGAAGCAAACCTTGCAGGACAAATTCTTCATGTGCATAATTATCTGTATTACTAATTTAATTATCCTGCATTAATAGGTGGTCTTTTCTATGGGAACAGAAAGAAAACAAGCTCACCTTTCACTGAATACGAAAGAATTAGATTCTGACAAGCTACTAAATGCCAATGGAGCATGAGGAGAAGATACCAGTTATTCTCTCCTAATGGCCTCTCAACCTCACTACCTTTTAATTGCGATCCAAAAACCACATCACATTCTCTTCTGCCACTGCCAGGATAGTCTGCAGGATTAGGACTTTAAACCGGTCAGCAATTAAGCAAAGCACTAATCAAAAGAACAGAGGGCTCAGCTGAAAAAAATGATGTTTATACAGCCACTTTTGTAACAGTCCGTCAGCCTTCCAGCTCCCAGGACAAGCCCTCCTGTTTTTCAGAGCCCAGAAGGCTGATTGTAAGCATGGACTGCCATAAGACATGTTCCCAGCCTTTATCTATCAGACTGGGATAGACTCAACTGAATTTAAATCAGTAGTAATTAACCTAAATTTTAATTATGCTGCTTCTCATCCTAAAACAAACAATATTAAATTAACCAAGATGTTGCTCTTTAATTGCTCATTACGAACCACATGCAGTAAATTTTTCACCAAAACATATTCCAGAACGCATAATGTGTTTGTGATTAGTCATGGTTTTACACATGCTGATATTTGTAGCCTGTGGCTCAGAGGTTGCCGTGGTCCATCAAGCACCCTCTCGCAGGCAGACCTGCTTTGAGACACAGAACTTAGCAAGTGGATTAGATATACAAAGCAGACAGTGGAAAAGACATCGAACAGAGGATGTCAGGGGAGTACCTATAACTATAAGGAGAAGTACCTACAAGTAAAAGGAATAATGGTACAACATGCTGGCACAAATGAAGATGTAGGGATTTGGTATGCTTTTCTGCCTGGATAAACACATAGGAAAGGACACTGTACCTATATTGTTCCTCATTGAAAGATCTCCAGTCTTTCCCCCTAGGTTAGTTCCCTAATGCTGAGGGATAAGGGCTATTTTTATTTTACAGAGGAGAAAACAAAAGAACCAGAGGATGAAATGACTTGGCCAAGGTCACACAGCAAGTCTCAGGCAGGGAGAGAATGCAAGACTCCTAGACCGCCAGCCACAGTCCTTCCGCTGCTGTGTGCTTCAACAGCAACGACTCTGTACCGAGCGTCTGCAATCCCTTCTGAACTAAAGATCACACAAAAATTGTACCTTACTTGCAGATTTTACATCAAGTATCTTAGCAGATACAGGCTCAAACGGTGCTTGTAAGTCAGACGCATCCAGTACATACGTTATGTGAGAGAACTCTTCAGCGACTGCTGCAGGTGGATTTCATTTTGAAGAAAGCCACCTGGGGCAGCCCAGGAAATGTCATTCCCTGCTTAGGCTACAGAACATTTCCAAAGACACAATGGCTGCCAAAGCTCCCCTAACAGCATCCTAATCAGATGAGACAGGATGCCTGTTTCTACTGCCTACCCAGTCCTTCACTTCTCTAATGCCAAGAGTGTGGTGAATCAGAGAAGAAGAGTGATTCAGAGATGCAGATACTAACTAGTTCCTTGGACCCTCCTCTTACATAGGTTTCCAAAGAGCCATCACTGCGTGTCTCTTACTACTGGAAGGAAGCAAATTAAAAGCCAGTGACCCAGAAATAAGAAGTTCCACATTCTATTCCCATTATTCAGCCATTCCTTAGCCAAAACACAAATATACCTCATCCCCAAGCTCCTAAATGCCGCTTTTTTGGCCACCCCTTAAAAAGGGCACAGCATTGCAGAACATCCCTGTGAACACTCACCCGCTCAGCAGCACTAACTACTAACTTGTTGTTTACACCCATTGGATTTCCTTTGCAATTTGCTTGTGAAGACCCCAAATAAGGCAAGGCTTCAAATAAGGTCAGTGTTTGTTTGATTAGTTGTGTTACCTTCGTTCTTATAGGTGCATCACCCAAGTAAAAGACTGGCTTTATACTTAAAGACACAGAGTGCCCAGGAACTCTCTTTTGTTTAGCCACAGCTAAACCACAGCACCTCCTTGGTTTATTCATCCACTGAGTTTGCAGATGTGGAAATGGACCACAGAGTATTCCTTAGAGGGTCCACTTGCATGAGAGAGAGATTAAAGAAATAAAAGGTGGACAAATAATGAAATAAAGGCCCAAAAGGAAAGGGCATAAGGAATCTAAGAGAAAGAACACCCGAGCAAGCATCGGTTCTGAGACACAGCAGGCAAGTGGGAGCTAGAAAAGAAACAGCAATATACCCAAAGCTCTCAGTGCGACAGCGAATTCCAGAGGTGACATCAGGAGGGGGCAGATCAGGGGTGGAGTCCATCTGAAGGAAATAAGAGGAGGTGGTGTGATGGTAATAGATAGGGTGGATATGGCAAGCAGGAGCAGATGCAGTGGTGGTGGATGAGGAGCAAGAAGTGGAAGAGGTGGTGGTGGTGGCAGATGATGGGCTGGTGCCGTGAAGGTCGGAACTGAAAGACTGTCCGGAAGTGAGGCTGTGCATTCGACGGAGAGAGACTCTGCCTGCCAGGAAATGGGCAGGCTGGCCCGATTCATTCTGGCCTTGCGCGTAACTCTCTACCAACCTCTGAGATCCGTGGGCATGCTGTGGGTCCACTAGGCGCTGGCGAACAGTGCCGGGCAAGGCAGGAGCTGTAATGAGAAAAAGGGAAGAACACTGAATGCAGCCGGAAAACAACCTGCACATCAAATCAGTGAGGATGCACTGCAATAAAGCTGCCACATTAGGTCAGTACTACACACCACAGGCACCATGCCTTCTGTCACCAGGACATTTGCGTGGGCTGCTGCAGCCATTCCATCGTGTGTCTTATCAGTTATGCTGATTTAATGCAGAAGAAGCAATAAGTTGGTGCTACTGCTTAACATGCTAGATTAATAACCAGCCCATGAAAATCTATGCTTGACATTCTGGATACAGGTGCTTTCTGAACACCTTATCTGATCATCTTGCTTGAAACAGAAACTAGCTGCAAGATTCCTCCGACCCAACTTTACACTAGAGCTGCCACCCAGACTCCCTTTGTAGTAAATGTGAAGAAGTAGTTACTTTCATGGTATGATTCATTTCACCCTAATACAGATAGCTAAATTGGTCAGATGCATCATGCCCTGGTAGTACTGTTTCTCTACGCTGCCTAAAAAAGGAGTCTAGGGTGATCGGTTCAGATGTAGGCAACTAAGGTGAGTCAGGGGAATTCCACCCGAAGAGCACAACTCTGCTCCCACTTCCAGTGGTTTTGTGCCAGTGTAACTGGCAAAATGCACAGGAATGCAGGACCTAGTCCAGTGCCACCTAAAAGCATGGTTGCTAAGTGCAGCTGCACTTTGTGTTCAAGCGCGGGAAGGTTTCTAGGCAGATGCAGGAACCTCTTAGCCTTGTACCCTTTCTGCAGGACAGAACGGCTAGGACACATGGCAGACGTATAATACACTATATCTTAACTGGACAGATACTAGGTTTCATCATATTACACACCTGAAATCATAGCTCTGATCCAAAAGTGGTATCATTTGGTCCTAGTCTGTTTCAAAATTAAGTTTCCTGATCAAAGAGGTGCTCAATTCGAAAAATATTTTTCTTTAATTGCAAATTCATCTTGGTTCAGTGAACCAAACTGGACCGTTTCCCTCAGTGCGCAGTCACCAGCTAATTAACAGATTTTTAGATCAAAATAATCTTTTTGGCCACCTAGTCTTACTTTGCAGGTAACATAGGCCAGACAGCTCAGCCCATTATCTCTGCATCAAACTTATACACAGAGCTGCAGCTAGGGGATAGCCCCTAGAAAGTCAAAAGGGAGGCACTTTTCCTTGGAAGGATATTTCTGAACAGTCATTTAGATTAAGCAGAGTATTCTATATATTATTATTATTATTATACATTGATACCTATGGATCCACTAGACTGCACCATCATACTGCAAACAAAAGTGATTCTGGTTATATTTAACCCACTGGCTATAATTTCCACACAAGATGTTCTTTCTTTTGCAGGAGATAAGGTGTTCAGGATTGTATATATGCATAAGAAATAAACGTAAAAATGGTTAAAAAGGTGAACAGACAGAAAAGCTGAGAAATGAAATAGAGGGAGAGTGCTTTTGGGAACTGAAGAACCAGCACATCACTGCTGTAAAAACCATATGCCTAGGAAATACCGATCTCCTGCAGCTCATATATCTGAAGGATCACTGTTGGGACATATTTCAAGTAGAAGGAGGAACAAACAAGAATAATTCAAGCAATATTGCTATTTGCACATTCCCAAGGTTAATCTCGGTTTCTTTCAGAGGGTGCCACCGCTCAGGTTCCCTGCTCTTCACTTCTACTACGCTGCCATATACAATCTTTTCACTAGAGCTCTTTATACTGCCCATTTTATATTTCACAGTTTTCTTTCTTAATGGCTCCAGAGTTGAATTGAAGTGAAATTGAGTCATATGGAATCAAGGTGGAAAAAAATCCCTTGCTCCAGCGGGGCCTGCAAAAAAACGACCAGAGGAGGTGGAAGGCAGAGTGTTAGCGAGGCAGAACTGGAGGCTGCTCAAGCTATCCCGCTACGGCTTTGCGGCAGCAATGCTGCTAACTAAAGCACGGCGGACAGGAACAGCACAGCAGGTCCCAACTCGCCCGCTGCTGGTCAGTATTCACACATAGACAGTTCAGAAGAGGAGTCTCATTTTGTGGAGCTAAGAAGGATGCAAGCTCCACAGAGTAATTAACTGGGGGACTGCAGATTTGTGCTACAGGTTTCTGTCTTTCTATCTTGGGACTTGTTTTTTCCTCTAAGCGTTTCACCCCCCCCCCCCCCCGGTATTACACTCCTCATTCGCAAACTTGACACATTACATGTATGTACCCTCCTTTTGCAGGATTTTCCTAGCTCTTGTAATAAACGCAGGAGCACGAGTTGGGACCTTGCTTCCACTGCAGCATGGCCTCGCACAGCTACAGCAACAGCGGGCCTTCATTTCACACAAATACGATGGCGCTCCAGTATGATTTAACTACACGTGTGTGTCATAAATGTTAGTCAAAGAGCCTGTTCATAATCTCGAGGAAGACTGCCACCACGCCAGTCCTAAACACTACCAATTTATGTGTCTCACCTGCTGCTGCACATACTCTTCCGCCTCTGTCACACAAAGGCCTGAATTACGGCAATCGTTCTGCTTAGGGAAAGTTCTCCAGGTCTGTGGCTCCGAGACTGAGCGCGCTGTCCCCACGGCCCCAGGATCAGGGCATCAGGGGACAGGTTAGCATAATATGCGGCACTGCTCAATTTATTTAAAGACACACTTGCGAGAAGCCGTGAGAAACGAAAGGCCGTGCAAGCGCTAGCGTTTCCCCCACTTCCCAGTCCAGGCCTGGGGAGGGAGCAGCATGACTCTCAGCCAGTAGTCCGCAGGCGCTGGGCAAGAGAGGGCAGAGGCTCTGTAAAGTCACGCACCGACAAGGAGGAGGAAGAGGGCTGAGAGGCGGAACATTAAACCTCTTGGCCTAGCCTAAATCCTTAATCTCTACCTCGGGGGGAAAAATAAAATGAAAAAAATCCTCCAACTTTCAGAATTGTTTTTTTTTTTAAATCAAAACCAAAAAGAATGTGAAGAGTACAGGCAACTGTGATTCTTCTTCATCCCAGCAGACTCTGCCCCGGGGTTAGTAAAGATGCTGATGTCTCAGTGAAGAAAAGTATATGAATTAGTTTTTCGTGCCAGAAAGTTGGAAAATTTGTGTATGTATTTTAGTCCAGAGAAAGGGCAGCAGGTAGAACAACAACAGCAACAAAAATCAAAGAGAACCAAACCAGGGTATTTCCAGAGGGACTGATCCTCCGAGGACAGAGACGAGCGATCACTGAACCTGCGCCCAAAAAGCCAGGCTGCATCTGGGATCAGGTCAGGTTCAAAAGGGAGAGAGAAAAATTTGATTTACAGGGAGAATCATCACTGGCACTCAGCAACGTTCCCAAAGCATCCAGGGAGGAACACGTTGCTTGTGTACACAAACTGCTTCAGGAGAGAAGCACAAAGAAAATACTCTCCAGGAAAGCAACAGGGAATAGTAATGCTGCCCCATTTTGGGAACTTGGTATATCAAGGTCTTGGCACCCAAGCTGTCACTCACGGTGAGTCAAATCCACGTTGTTGCACCGAGGCACACAGACTTGCCACCGTCTCCCCGACTGACTGGAACTGCAAGGGCTCGTATGCAGAAAATCTCATTCTTGGCGTGTCTCACAAGGCACAAAAAAGCTGAGCACGTTGACCAGGATCACACCCAGGCGGGTTTTGAGTATCTCCAGGGAAGGAGACTCCACTACCTCTCTGGGCAGCCTGGTCCAGGGCTCTGTCACCCTCACAGGAAAAAAGTTTTTCCTCAGGTTCAGATGGACCTTCCTGTGTTGCAGTTTCTGCCCGTTGCCTCTTGTCCTGTCACTGGGCACCACGGAGAAGAGTCTGGCCCCACCCTCTGGACACCCTCTCTTCAGACACTTCTAAACATTGATCAGATCCCCTCTGAGCCTTCTCTTCTCCAGGCTCTACAGGCCCAGCTCCCTCAGCCTTTCCTCAGAGCAGAGATGCTCCAGGCCCTTCATCATCTGTGTAGCCCTCCGCTGGACTCTCTCCAGGAGCTCCATGTCTCTCCTGCACTGGGGAGGGAGCCCAGCACTGGACCCAGTACTCCAGATGTGGCCTCACCAAGGTTGAGCAGAGGGGCAGGACCACCTCCCTCGACCTTCTGGCAACGCTCTGCCTAATGCACCCTAGGATCCCATTGGCCCTCCTGGCCGCAAGGGCACACTGCTGGCTCAATCTCTACTTCACTAATACTCAGCTTGCATCTTTTCAGGTTTTTATTAGCGCTGTCTGGTCTTGGCTTTTAACGGTAACTGATAATCACGCAAAAAGACTGGTAAGACACCATTAGCTGTTTGATGCTTTAAACGTTGCCTACACATACCCAACCCTATAAACCACAGGCTCCAAACCGCATGTTTGTTGAGCTCCAAAAACCCGCACATACCCCGTCCCTCCCGCCTTAACCATATTCCAGTTTAGCCAAGCTCTTGGTGCTCCGTCTCCATCCCTCCCCAATGCCCTGTGCCCACCTCAGCACTCGCCTCCAGAGCCTTTACAGCCCTCAGAAGACCTAAACAGACCTGAAACTCTCAGGGAGGAATGGGGACAGGCACATATGGGCATCTCCTGCAGCACACGCGGCCCATCCCTGAGATTCATTCCTTTCTTCCACCCCAATTTCTGCCCAGTTAGACAGATTTATTTTTGATGAAGTCCTCACTAGAAGGTGACCCAAATCGGACATAACTGAAAAGGCAGCTGCAACTAATACTGTCAACCCTGGCTCCTCTCTTCCCAGCTCAAGCTCAGAACGGTACGTTCTAGCCACCTGCTTTCCATACACCAGTAAGACCACTGCCGTCACAGAGCAGCTTTTCAGAATGTCAGGAATTGCTATCCAGGCCTCCCATTCTCTTACGCAATAGCTAGAGATAAGAAACTGTGTTTGGAAAATACATTTTTGAGAGATGCAGGGCCATGTATGAATCTAGGTCAACTTAACATGGGAACTGTAGTCAGGACTGATTCACAAACTTGTTCTAGAGAGGGAGACAGCCCTCATCTAATCCAAGAGCTCAGCAATTAAGGGAGTCGCAAGCGTAAGGTGACCCAAGTTCAATCCCTTCCTCTGTCTGGCATCACCTGAGCTCATGCGTGTGGGCTCCTCCGCTCTCCCTCCTACAGAACGCTCCCTCCACTGTATACTGCAGTGTGTATACAAATAGTCACTGGTAAAGAGGGAAAGGGTATCCACCTTGGAGAGGAGAACACGTGCACACGAGACGGGACACAGGGGTTTCAGTCTTTGCTCCAGTAAACGTTTAAGAGTTTTTTAAATGTAGGCTGTATTATCAAAGCAGACTGCTCCTCCCCATGTAGAATGGCAAGAGACAAAAGTTCAAAACCTTGCATGAAGAGGAGGTAACTTCAAGTCATTCTGTGTCCTGAGTAAGTGCTCCAACCAAAAGGAGGCTGGGGAAAAGCACTTCATTTCCCTCTCTCACTTTTGTGACTCTAGCCCTCCATATCCTTTTGTTTTTCTTGCAAATGCTTGAATTTGGTGTGTTGAACAGAACAGCGTACCTATTATTAAAGGATATTTTTTCTGACTTTTAACGTTGGCTAATAAAAAACCAAAACATTTAAGTTTGTCTATGATTAAACAAGACCCCCCCACCATACCCCACTCCACCTCCTTTTTCTCTACATTGCTACCACCATGGGAAAAGTGTCCAAACAAATATACATGCAGCACTGATAACATCTATGAATTTCTAATTGTGTAGGAATTAATAGGCTCCAAACAACCAGAGCAGTGGGGGGTCCGGCACTAATGGACACCTTAATTCCTCCCGATATATTTCAGCTCCTTTTCCATATTTGTCACATCTTGCAGCACTCAGCGCAGCAGATACGGGATCTCACCATATGTAACTAATACAGAATACGTACACTGTATGGACATGGGAGACACGATCTCTTCATCCAAATCATCCACATCATCAGTCATGATGAAGTGTGAAGGGTTAGGCCGAGGGGTGCCCATCCAGCTCGGATCAATATTAAGGGCTGATGCCAGCGTGTGGATGCCCGGGTTGTTGACAATCTGGAACCCGCAGAGCAGCTCGATTTGCTGCCAGCGATGCAGGCGCTCCCGGAGCGCTGCTGTCACTTCACTCAAAGCTTGTCTGAAAGCAAGGTGCAAACAAGGGAAAAATTAGAGAATGAAAGAAAAACACAGTAAATTGTCTGCAGTGGGGAGTCTAACGGTTGAGCTTTGTGTCCTAATGCTTGAGACATCTTTCATTCCACATACAGGAATACAGCAATAACCTCTGAAACAGTAACAGCTGAAACCTCCGGGGATAACCGCTTGGAATGCTGTAGCCTCCGGACTCCTCAGGAAAGGCCAATTTGACAACACTTTTAATTGCTCTGCATAATTACGATTGCAGTTTTACACACCCCAAATTAAGAGGTTTTTGGTTAAAAGGAGCAAGTTCAATCCCAGCAAAATAAAGTAATAGAATCACAAGAAAGAAGACAGAAATGAGGGAAGATATAAAGTACATAACTTACTTTGCAGTCAAGATTTTATGATCAACATCATCTAGAGATGAGCTGTGAGCAACGTGAAATGTTCCAAACAGGGTGTTTCGCTTCTTTTTAATTTTTTCAGCCTGGAACGTTAACAGAAAAAGGTCACAGGAAGAACAAGACCTTATGTTTCCTCCAGGACAAGAACATCCTGAATGGGCTAAGACAGAAATAGTCCTGCAGCTGTTTTCACACATGTAAATGGTATGAACTGTCATTTTCCTGAAGGATGCGATTCCTCCTGACATGGTGGATGGGGAATTCACCAGCAGCAGAGTAAGCAGGTTGTGGGTTTCAAGCTCCTCCTTGGTCCTTCTCCTGATTTCCAAAAAGCCACAGGGAAATGAACCAGCTGCTTCCTATGGCTAATGGCTGTCTTACAAAGCCTTGTTTTGTCTTTCTCATGACTAAATTATCAAAGGAATACTGTTAATGCCCTTCGGGTATTTTTACCTGTCCTTTATGGCACTGCGTATATTCAAATCTAAAGTCTCCTCACATAGATCTTTGGTTCACACGATACAGTGGCATTAACTTGAGACTTACAAGAGACAACCAAGGCCATGATCATGACACAACAAAAGGTAAACTGCTGAAATGATAACATATTCCTAACAAAATCACATAAAGACAGACAAATTTTTATGTGCTGTCAGCTCTGACTGCCCAGAAAAGTCCTGTAAAAGTCCCCAGAGATGAATACATGTTACAACAGCTCCCCTGCAGCTTGTTATTCTGTGGTTGGCAATGGACATTTTCAAGAACTGGGCATGCAGAAATGATTCATGACTACAAATCACAGACACGTATTAGAAATGTTGTTGCCTGTGCAGGTAAAACACCTAGCACAGGGATCATTCTTAATAGGTGCAAAATCTTCTGCTTGCTGATTACCCACAATGCTTGTGGCACGGACAACAACCAATACTCTGCATCCGCACAGGCTTCAACCTACTAAAGATATACTAAAGCAGCTGATGGGCATGCCCACGCTCAATCCCTGCAGTTCAGTGAGAGGTAATTGCTCATTATCACTTTCAATCACCTCCGTGCACCTTGATAAAAGTTTATGCTGCACTTTAAAAATGCAAATTTAAGGCATTAGATATGAGGGAGCAGAGAGCCACGACCACACACTGTCATCATGTCTTTCACCTAAGCAAGTTATGTAACTATAGGACTTTGGATCGATTTTTTCGGCACTGTTGTGAGATCAGACTTCCTGTATTTTGTTGTGGCACACAATCAAAGATGAACGTAGAAACGGCTCACTGAAAGAAGACAAGATGCAGAGAAACGAACTCCCCACCGTTGCAATGGGAAGGATCTAGAGTAAAGAGACTGAAATTCTCACCCCTTCTTTGGCCACCAGAAGCTGCTTCTCCGCGTTGTGCTTCTTGATGTTATAGTACTGAACTTCCACTTCGTGGGTCAGCTGGAGCCACTTCTGCAAGGCCTAAAATCTCGGGATTCTTCAGTGCCATTCGGACCTAGGAGAAAACCAGCCAGTGGCAGCATTACAGGCAGCAGTGGAGGGGAGCCCTTTCATCCTGGTCAGCGCTCTTCAAAGTGATGCCACACGGTATCAGCTGGTTGCAAACCTAGCACTTTTAATGCACCAGAAAAAAAAAAAGTAAGACTCCATAAAACTTAATCTTATTCCTTTTTCCTGACAGAAGCAAAGGTCAATACGAGGGGCGGCATCCTGGCGCTGTGAGCAAGTGGGACAGAGAGCTACAACACTTGCTCTCTTCCCAGCAGCTATCCAACACAGGAAAAGCTTGAACGACTAGAACAATCTACAGAACTTCTCTTTCATCTTAAAGCCGGGTTCCTTTCTGAAGTTTCTCTCAAAAATTTCCAGCAATTGCGATGCTCTTTTGCCTTACCACTTCAGCTCTGAGGGAGGTTAAGCAGCGTGTTTATTCATTGCTGATCTGGTCTATCTCTTCATGTCTGTTAAGACAGCGGGCCACCTTCTCCCCTGCCTCACGCTGGCACAAATTATAGGTAAATCCACTAGAGCTGACAGGATGGCAGGGGAGCTGGTCAAGAGAATTAGACGACTTCAGGTAAGTATATTCAGAGTGCTTATCTTCAACCTCTAGAAGTCTCTACAAACTTTGCTGCCTGCCTTCTGATCTGCAAAATCTACAAATTCAGCTCCTCCTAAAGCAAAACCACTGACGACACTGTGCAGGCAATTGCCTTTTTTCAGCGCAGTTACTGAGCCAAACAGAGGGAGCTTGTCAAAAGACAACTTTCACACTGGAGCAAGATGATAAAAATATTTAGACACAAAACATGTGCTGCTTGGTCAGGAAAAGAAATAACGCGTTCTGGAATGAGCAGTTACTGCCGCTTTCTGAAGGACTCTCCTTGCATCCCAGCTCAGTCTCCTCCACATGCTTATCTTGCTGCAGAGTCATTACAAAATTAGAAGCAAGTGGGTGACAAGCAAGTTGAAGATACCAAAAACTTACACAAAACTGTTTAGTGCCAGAAATCATTAAGGATTAACACTCCTCTTTTATTACACATTACGTGGAGGGACTCGATGCGTAGTAAACGTGACCCAAGCCCTGTGTCGTCATCACCACAGGATGACGACTGCAACTCAAACTACTGCAGTTCCGGAACAGAACACAAGTGATGCAGCTCCTGCTGTTTGACTGTCCTTCAATCACAGTATCTCAAAGCTCAGAAGGAATATATGTGGTTTTACACTGTACAACAGACTTTTTTTTGGGCTAAAAAGAAAAAGGCCAACTCTAAGCACCTTCAAATGCCTTCACTGCCACAGCAAGCCTTAGCCCACAAATGTAGGCCCTTTCTTAAAAGCACACCGAGCTGGGAGGAAAGGTCCAGTCACATCCCAGCCAGCTATGCTGGCAGAGCTATACACCTGAAATTGGGATAATGTTTGGAAAGCTTTGCAAATGTCCCCTTTTTCCTTTCTGCTCTTTATGGCCTTGATCTATACCAACACATAGTCAACGGAAGTTTTTCTAGCGACTTGATCAGATCCTGAACCAGGCCTTGCCTAACGTTCAAAGCATGTTTGCCACAACTGCGTCTATCCCCCCCTTTTGCTAAAAGGTGCTAGTGCCAGTTTCCAATTTCCAGAGTGCACAGCCTCAAACTTGACTGAGAATATGCACTTTTAAAAAGACCACTCCAATGTGGATCTTTTTCCCTAGAGTGTATTTAACTCAGCCCCATTTGAATCAAATCTGGCTTAGGCATAGTTTCTAATCAAATGCACCATGACAAATGCACCAGGTTACACTTGGATATTTTGAAATTTCATATTTTACCTTGGAGTACATTTGCATCTTGGAGGTAGCCAGGAAGAACCACACAAAAGAGGTCAACTACTTATTATATCAATGATGTGTGCGATTTAGTCTTGTTGAGCATAACATTGCCTAAACCATGCACAAAGTTACAAATTCAGAATCACAGTTCTCAGGAGGGCCTGAATTTTCCCCTCTGACATCAGCTGCACCAACCTCTTCTCTTACTATACACAGAGCTCTAACTATGACAGACAAGAGCCTGGGATTTAGGAACAGTCAGGACGAGCGAACATGAAATCTGCCACTAAGTATTTAGGGCAGAGGTGTGTTCAAAACATATATGGAAACAATGGGTTTATGGAATTATGGAAAGGGAAGCAGTGCAGAACAGCAGCCAAGGACAAGTGGTTGAAATGAGCCATGATACAGCAGTGTTCAAAACACAAAACACTGTCATTTCTGCAGAGGGAAAACAATACAAATAGAAGTTATATAGGAAGCGAATGTTCTCCTATAAAGATTTCTAAGATCCCATTTTGACCACGAAGAGTAACAAGCACTCAGAACCTGAAGCGCAGGTTGGGGTCATGGTTTGGGTGGAGTATGGCCTGACAAGAAGAGAGGACCACTATAAATAGTCTAGTACAAAAGAGTCCAACCCCAGTAATATATTATTTTTTAATCTCATAAGCTGGATTCCAACAGGAGCTTTCAAACCCTCCAGGATCTTTTTAGCAATAAGTCTCAATAGATGCAAAAGAAGCTCTTATTTTAATATTTACGGGACCCCAGAACATCTTAGAATCTCACGAGTTTTACGGTCAGTGGGAGTGACTGGTTAATTATATCTGTGGCCTAAAGTTCGTTGGAATGGTGATTGTGTTATAATCACACAGTGTGGGTCAGGTGGATAAAACCAATACTCACCCTTTCAATGCATCCCTCATGAAGGCCTCTAAGAAACAACAGAGTGGTTAAGTCATCTCTGGTTTTTCAGATACAACAAATGTGAAGTGGAGGGAAAAAGTGAAATGGATGAGACTCTACCTTCTCTGAAAGCCAGCAGCAGGTCAGGGGCAAGGACTCAGAGTTACAAGAGAAAGGCTTTCACATATCCTTATTTAATGGCCCACAGTACAAAATGACTGAATTTCTTTTTATGTGAATACAGGTGTCCAAATGCATGTTCTGAAACACAGCTCAATGAGTTTCTGGATGAGGCTGTTATTCTGGATGAGACAAGTTAGGAGGAATGATCTTAGACCAAGAAAGCAAAGCTTGCAGCAGGAGTCTGTGAATGTCTGGACTGATGGTACTCCTTGACGAAAGCAATGAGGAAAGGAAATTTGCGCCTTGTTGACTAGCTGTATACTCTAGGCTATATTGCCCCAAAGTTCACTGGTTACCTTGAGGGCCCACGACAGACGTTTCTCCCCTTGTCAATGGAAACCTAGAGTCTTGTTCATTTGCTTCCCCATCCTCCACGGTGGCATAAAAGTTTGGACACAGGCAGGTGGAAGGATATGCTGATGGCCTAAGAATATCCAAGATACTTGCTTGGCTCAGGGAATTCTGGCTTGCACAGTTTCAGTTTAAACTGATCTATAAATTCAAGTCAGATAAGAACTTTCCCTCAGGTGAAATAGGAAGGAGCAATTGGAATTGGTTTTGGACTTCCTTTGTAAGTTTGGGCAAAACACAGTTTTGAAGTAAAATTCCTGGATGCTTTTATTTTGTTCTCTGCTACTGCAGACAGGCGCTATTAGCAATATCCTTGATTTCCATTATTTCCCTGCGGCACATCATAGCTTTTGTGCCTTTTATTATAGATCTCAGGGTTTTTAGGCGTAGGATTGGGCATTCTTTTCTGGCCTCTGACAAGTTATTTTATGACATCACACAAATGTTCTGTATATACTTCTGGATCAAATGTACATTTCATTGTTGCCAGCAACAATATTATACAGGCATTTATATATATTCTTGCCAGGTCTACATTTCAATGTGTAACTTGGGGACTTATTTTCCTATTAGTCTAAATTTAAAGCTAATGTATTGGGGATTTGCATATGAACTCTAACCTCACTATACAGATTCTAATCTGGTGCTTAATTATCTTGGAAATAACAGGAGTTAGGTTGCAGTCACAGTTGAGCTTGTACACCTCTGATCCACATTAAAACTGGTAAGAACAACCAAACTTATTTTAAATCCCTCCTAAAATCATGGAGAGAGGGGAGAGAGGGGAGAAAAAAGAGAAAAAAGAAAAAAGAGAAAAAAGAAAAAAGAGAAAAAAGAAAAAAGAGAAAAAAGAAAAAAGAGAAAAAAGAAAAAAGAGAAAAAAGAAAAAAGAGAAAAAAGAAAAAAGAGAAAAAAGAAAAAAGAGAAAAAAGAAAAAAGAGAAAAAAGAAAAAAGAGAAAAAAGAAAAAAGAGAAAAAAGAAAAAAGAGAAAAAAGAAAAAAGAGAAAAAAGAAAAAAGAGAAAAAAGAAAAAAGAGAAAAAAGAAAAAAGAGAAAAAAGAAAAAAGAGAAAAAAGAAAAAAGAGAAAAAAGAAAAAAGAGAAAAAAGAAAAAAGAAAAAAGAAAAAAGAAAAAAAAAGAACAAAAAAAGGAAAAAGAAAAAAGAGGAAGAGAGCTTATGGTTTGGACTTGGGGTGAAAGTTGCCAGAAGGATGCATTTATGGGTCAAGTTCAATATCTCTCCTTCTGCAGGGTAAGCTGAAATGATGCGAGGTGGCAGCACATTCACTCTGGAGACAGCACCTGTACAGTCCCCGCTAACCACCGCCTGAGCAGCACTGCTACACACACGTTGTGGGGGAAGTGTAAAGTAAAGTAGTGGAAGAAAGACTTGGCCCTTTTTTCTACAAACGGGAGTGGAAAAGCAGAGGTGCAGGAGCATTATAAATAGGACACCACTGGATTTCTCAGAAGGGTGAAGCACAGTGAGCTGCTGCCTACTGCTCTTCCTGGCATGTCTTGCACGTAAGCGCATCCGTGTTTGCCTGAACCCTCACCTGCTCCAGTTCTTGCTCAGCATATTTTTGTCTGCTCAGCTCATTCTCTGTGCCCTCCCGCAGTTCTCGGAGCCGGTGTGCCTCCTGCTTGGCAATACTGATCTCATCTTGAAGTTTCTTCTCCAGGTGCACCTTTTCCACTTCCACAGAGCGGTGTTCTTCTTGAGCCTTCTGCAGTCTACAACACACAGAGACAGAGCCCAACGTTGTGCTTGTGGGACTATCCTGTACACAGCTAAAGGAACTACAAGGTCCACAGTGCAACTGTTGACCATCCACAATCTAGACAAACTCTGCTTTCATTTACTCTATGTTGATGTCAACAGACACGCACATTTGAAAAGTCAAGGAGAAAGTTCACCTTGCCTGAGAAGAAATTAAATTGTCAGCTCCAGATACTCAGCCTTATTTAATTTTTAAATACTTAACACTTATTTTTTTAATCAAGCAAAGCACAAACCCAAAGTTTCCTTAAATAAGCTCCAAACTCATTTGAATTTTCAATACTTTTACAAAAATGAAGACCTTTGCCTTAAAAAAAAAAAAAAAAAAAAAAGAGGGAAAGCTATGCCAGAGCAGGTATGAATACACAGATAGGATGTCTCTGTGCTCCATTTCCAAGAGTGTTCAAATTTAGATACGTCATAATCCTGCCCGGAAGTGATTATTTTTCTTCATGCCTCAGTCTTCTGAAGGACATAACACTGCAGCCACAACATGTTATTTCAAAGTTTCTACTATACTTTCATTCTGTGGGAGGGGGAAAAAAAAATCGGGCCTATTTGCTGCCTCTTTTGGACACAGCACTGCTGTGTCAGCCTTCCAGGGAAACAAAAATATGAACCCTAAATCAGTCAGAGGTGCACTAGTACAAACATGATCCTAGCACAATTTCACTGAAATTAGACTAGCATCAAGAACGAACCTAGCCCGCTCAAGACTGAGCTGCCTAGAGGAAAGACACACTAAATTCTCTAGCTCTTGCCACACAAACAGCCTCTAAATGTTAGTCATGCCTCTTCTAAACACATCTCAAAACCCCAATTTTTTTCTAATGACAGAAACTGTCAAATTTAAGAAGAAAAAAGATTTGGCAAATATCCAGTTGAAATGAAGAGTTTCACCTCACAATTAAGGTTCTGAGAAGCCCTGCTGAGCGAAGTACTACCATTCAAAGATACAGGGTGTTACAGGGCTTCTTTCTTTACAAGGACCAGCAGCTAGAAGCCAAATGATTCAAATGAAAAATAAAGAGCCCTCTTCTTTTTTAAAATGGTGGTAACAATTAAACCCTGGATCACATTTCTGAGGAATGTAGGGCATCCATCTTTGTACATCTTCAAATCAAGATGAGATGAATTTCTAGAACATCTATTGGATTGATTATGGCTTTTGATATCAGAAACCAGGTTCAACAATCTAATAGTCCCTTCCACCTTTAAAATATTAACTTCTCTCTCAAAAGTCTCTCTCTCTGACATAGCTTGCAATAAATCAATAGCTGTTGGACAGAAACAGGCTGTACGAGCACCAGAGGCAACACACTTTTTAACCCAAAACAAACTGAGAAAACTCCTGCATTCTGCCACTTGAAATAAAGTTCTGCTCTCAATTAAATCAGTCTGTTCCACCTACACTTATTGTACTTCTTAAGCAGTTTCTTCTATGGAATGATGGGATTTTAGGATAAAGTACTAACCTACACTGAAGTTATCAACAAACTTCGTGAGCTTGGCAAGGCCTAAGCTTAACCAGTCAAATTAGTAGTGGCTTAGAGCATAGAGATTTTCAGCGAATGAGTAGAACTATCCATAAAGTGGAAGGAAAAAAGAAAACAAAAAAACTTAGAACCACAAGTGAAATAGTCTTAGCCAGAAATGAATACTTCAGAATCATAAAATCTCTTCCCATTCAAGATCTTCAACATCCAAACCAGAGAGCAAAATAACGGAGAGACGCACAGGTGTGATAGATCAGAGGGAGGACAGCAAGACTTGGCTCGCGGTTTCCTGTACCTGTCCTGTACATAAGGAAGAAAACATCTAAGAAGAGAAGACAAAGACAACATCACCAGTTCAAGTAAGAAGGACTGGAGGGAGGGATCTCTGTGGCACTTTCAGAACCTGAAATCTCGTGTGGAATGAAACAGAAAAGAGCAACTGCACATACAAACCTACTTCTAGGTACTTCTGCTTTGAAAGGTGTTTGCTTCATGGTTCTAGCTCATTCCAGATCAGGTGGACACAAATAAATTGGAAAAAAAAAAAAATCAATCATCAGCTACTACCAAATACTGCTCCATATAGTATATACACAGGTACTCATTTTCAAGACCTTGTATCAAACGGAAGAGCTTGTTTTGTTCTTCATAGGGGATTTAACAAGGCCTACATGTAGAATATCCGTTCTGAATCTCTGCAGTGATAAGTTAATGCCTTTTGGGTCAAGAGTGAAGCTGCTCATTGGTCTAATGGTGAACAGAGCTGTTAAGTACCCTTGTTTTTCAGGATAATTTTTGGCATACAGATGACAATTTAAAACAAATCTGGATGGCTGGACTCTCATCACTCATGATGTTGGCTCTGTTCTTGGAAAACAGTTTATTTTCAATTTACAGCTCTTTTGAGAAACTCAAATGTTTTCATTCCCAAATTAAAAAGAATTTTGCCAAGACATTCCAAGTTTTTAGATAAACCCACGCTCTCTGCCCTGCGCATCACTGCTACAACTCTTCCTTACTAGGGCTGTAAAGAATCCCAAAGCACCAAAATGCCTCTGTTTAAAGGGGAAATTCCCCTATACTATACTGCATGCGTCACCAGAAGAGGGAAGGAATTTTATCCTTAAGATTATATTCAAGCATCATAATCGTAATACTGTATTTCCCCTTACTACCATTTTTTTCCTGACAGCACAGCCCATATTTTCATATGTTGCTTAGAGACAAAAGCGCATTTTATCTGCGCATTCTCATTCACACCCAGCTGTTTCAGCTACGCTGCTTTTACATGTACGGAGCGCCAGGGAGCATAACAAAGTGCCCTCAGAGCTGCCCTGGCATTAAGGGCAGGAATCGAGGCCTACCTGGAGGCTTCGCAATTCAGGAACAGATTCTTCAATACCCTTTATCAGTCAGCTATACAACGGTATCAACTTTTTTTTTTTATTTGGATTGGTCATTTACCTGACTGCAAAGAGTTCCTATGGAAGAACGTTCTCAAAAAGTATTTTGCTCCTGAACTAGAAATGGCTTTATATATCAATCTTTCTTTCTCAAATCTTCAAGATCTTATCAAAGCTGTTGGCATTGCTGCCAGTTGGTAGGCAAATGGGAAAGGCATCACATGCCTTCTTCTGGAGAGCTGTTCAGCACTGAATTTTAATGAGAGGTAAAAGGAAGTTACCTCATGTTCTGGAAAGAAGCTTCTAGAAAAGATGTTTCAGAGCAGAACTAGAGAATGACTTCTACACAAGTCCATAAGAAGGTGTTTATCCATAGCTTTTGCTTTTCCCACAGCTGCTGAGCAGTACAGCTGAACCTTACAGGGAGGCAAGGATGAAGAAGTGAAGGCACATATCCCCTGTTTAGAGAAGAATTAGATCAACCCTGTGCCAAGAGGCCCCACAGGCACCCAGGAATTCATCTCCCATGTCTGGAGCTCCCGTTCAGTGCCCTCTGGGGAGGACAATCCCTCCTATTCACACTCTCTGCAGAAACAGCACAAGTTGCTCTGTTTCAAGACTCAAGCTGTGCCTATGTGGTTTTGTGTTTCTTCTTATCTGGCTTTACAGCATTAGCTAACTTCCCAGGCACATCTACTTGTTTATGTTGCTCTGTCCTCAGCAACAGATCCCAAGGTCATTTCCTACACTGCCTAATCACAGCAACTGGCTTTGGGCCTCTGGAGTAAATCACTCTTGAACTGAACTCAGCAGTTCCTTCAAATTCTGGACTCAGTTCTGATGTTCCAGAAAAATTACTTCAGAAGACAGAGGTTTGAGAAGGAATTCTTGTGTCCTTCTGTCTATAGAAAAACCTTTTTCTTTGGGATATTTCCAACATGTAACGTAATACTATGCAAAGCTCTGTGAAATGACCTGTTTACTAGAACTGGCTCCTTGGTAGACATACAGGAAAGGTAGTTTTTCCTATCTTTACGTCAAGAAGAAAGCAGGTCATCTATCTTTATCAGGAATATGGGAACATGCCGAGTTTGGCACCATCAGCTTGGTACGCTCTTACTTATTTCCTTCCACGTACATCCTCACTGATGTGATCACGCTCAGAGAACTTTTAGACAGAAAAAGGCTTTCCAACAGTGCGCGTGCATGGGACACCTCTCTGTAGGCTGTTCTAGGCAAACAGGTAAGAAATCAGGCTGCAGTCTTCTGTGTATATGGTACTGTTTCCAAAGACTGAGCTGTTTGTAAAAATCTTCCCTGCAAATTTACATTCTTAAGGTCTTGGCATTTGTACAGGCATCTTGCTGCGCTACCCATGAGTAGCTAGCACAAATAACTGGGGCCAAGCTCTGCTTTCAGTGAAGTCACTGGGAATACAGCCGTCAGCTTTTATGGCAGCCAAATTAAACGTTACCCTTGAAAATTACATTTAAAATAAATAAATAATAAATAACATAATAAAATACAATAAAATAAATAACAATAGTTAGAGCCCAAGTTTACAATGCTCTGTTACTTGCTAAATCTACCCTTAAAAAACAAAATTTCATTGCCAAAAGAAAACGACTGGTCTGCCATTCACAGCACCGGACGTCATTTCTTTCCCAGAAAAACCTTGCGCCTACAGAGGGCCTGCTTTTGCAGCCTTTTCTCATGGGAGTAACTTCACTGGCACCTTTGCAATCACTCCCGTGAATAAAGGTTGCCTTACCAAGGCTACGGTATTTTGCTGACAGAACAAATGAAAAATCTGTGCGGCAAAGTGGTGCGCAGATTTTAGCTATTCATGTTTAATACTCAAAAATTAATTCTTTTTTGATTCTTTCTAGCAAAAACCCTTGGATTTCGGTGTCACTGTGCAGGCAGGGAAGCACCGACTTTCACATATACGTCAGAGAAGAATTCAAGAGGGGGTGTGTAATTGCTCTCCTGAGTTGCTTCTACTGTATCAGTGTGCTTCTTCCCTGTTAAAAGACAGAGTGAAACATCCTGATCAGCCTGGATGATGAATTCTAAGTGAGCTGGATTACTTCAGAGTCTTTTAAAAGACTCCTTTTTTTATCTCCTCTCTAGGTGCAGATTTATATCATAATTTTACAGGAGGAAGAAAAAAGAATTTCAATATACTTTCAATATCAGTTGGACTAGGAGTTGCAACTACTGTTCATTTCACTGCTACTATATAATTGTGGTAAATAAATAGAAAGTTCAGATTTGAAATAAGACAATACGCTCAAAATGAAGGGTAGCAAGTCACTGTCAAATACAGAAGGAGCATTCAAGCCAGTTTTGCTCAGTCAAATGCTTTAATTCTGAAAGCACAAAAGCTCCAGTTGGGACATAAGGGAGAAAGGAGCTCTCACTTGTCAAAGACAACAAAATCGAGTGAAGTTCTCCCAGAAAATAGTTTCTTAGAACCAGCAATGGAAATTAGAGCAGAACGAGAACTAACTAAACAAACAAACAAACAAACAAAAAGACATAAAAACAGTGCAGAAAGGAAAAGAAACCGCATGTTAACAATCTCTGAGCAAGCATGGAAAGCCATGCTCGACCACACTTCACTGCGTACATTACTCGGGTCCATCTCGGTGAGAGAAATGCTCGTGGCAGCTGTTGTCCCTTTGCCGAAGGGGCCTTACTGCCGGCAAGTTTTAGGGTCCTAACAACGTGAGGGTTTCACGTGGCACACCTCAGCTACAAATGACTAGTACATCACCTCCAAAAAGTAGGTAAAGCGAGCGTGCACGTGTCAATTTGTGAACTGTTAACTGAACTCATTCACAAGCCATGAACCAATTCAAGCTCTCAAGACTTGTTAGCAGGTTTGCTACAATTGCTCGAGAAGGTGATGACTACGGTACGCAGCACCAGAAGCTGAATGCCCCACTTGGAGCATGACAGCTGCGAGGAACACCTTCTTTCTTGAAATCTATATGAAAAATAACCTTTCAGGAGACATCAACAGTTGAATACTCTGACTGGACAGACACCTAAAACTCACCTTTCTTGAAGGTCATGGAGAGACTGTTCAGCTCTGTGAAGCCCCTCAAGGTCTTTCATCATCTTCTTCATGTGCTCCTTTGAATAGCGATTCTGGATATAGGCAAACCAGCAACCACCCACTCCAATGACAATAGACACCACCAGCATGAAGTCTTTGAGGTGGTTATGACGAGTCACTGAAAGAGAGTCAGAGATACTATTTAATTCAAAAAGGGAAATATGATGATCAACTCCGCATTTTTTCCCCCGTACCTTAGCTAGAAGCGGGAATTTAAGATAGCATAGAAAGAATTATGACCCAGGTTTCACAACAAATGGAAAACAGCTACATCAATATTTATTAATAAAAGAAAGTTGAGAACTTTTATTCAATTTGAACAGAGAAAAGTAAAATAAATGTCTAAAAGAAAGATGAAACTCAAAATCTTTGCAGATATAATTTGTCTGCCAATATAATAGCTTGAGATACACAGTACATTAGAAACTCGACTTATGAACCCCCAAAGCAGCTGTGTTCCTTTAGGACAATACAGATAACATTCAGTACAGAGACGTAACGGCCAGAGAGATCAGGCAAATCAAGTGTCAAATCATTTTTAGGACGCGTTGCAAACCTTTCCATCAGAATTACAACTTCATGTTGAAAGCTCCCTTTTCCAACACTTAGCAACACACAGAGTTACTTTAAAAGACGTGGGTGCATAGGAGAGAGAGAAAGTGATTAAGCGGGGTTTTTAAGCGCTGAATGAAAAACAAAAACACCTTCCAAGAATTTTTTATTCCCACCTGAGAGTTGTGGGAGAGCTCTACAGAACTCACTTGGAAACGTCCTGTTGCCATGCCACTGACTTCATGTGGAAGTCAACCAAAAGGAGTACAAAGCACTGAAAGCATTTAACTAACGCCAGGTTCTAATGAACTCTTTTCCGGCTTTCAAACTGGGCTCAGTCTACACCGTGCATGTGAACGAGATGCATGTGAACCGCCATTTAAGACCAGACCTTGCTTTTGGTCTATGATTTTATAAACGTTCTAAAAAGATTTAGCAGAGAGAAGTCCCTTAAAATTTAACAAATTAATTTTGTCATAACCATCTGTTTACGACATGGCAAAAGTTCAAACAAGTATGTCCCAAGAAAGCTAAAAACGGAAGAGAATAGCTTGTTAAAGCTAGCTGTAAATAAAACATTCAGTATCTATCGCACCAAGAACAAATCTGCAGAGTCTACAGAAATCCTGTGCTTTCCACCGGAGCAGCGACAAGCTGGACGGGACAAGCCTGATGTCACCACAGCATGTGTGATCAGGGCATACACCCCAAGCATTTCTTCTCGTCTCTAAAAACAGCGCACAGTGCCATCAGTTGAGCGTGATTCACCCTTGGGAACGCACTCTGCCGTAAGTGCTACTCGTACGCGTTCGGAGCTACACCACGATCACACCTGCCTGAGAGGAATCCTGCATGTTACTTGCACTTCTCAAATCACTGTTTCTTTTTTTGTAACTAGTACTAATGTTTTTCACCCTAGGCATGCTACCTCATATCAAGTTTTACAGGCGTCTGTTGGAAGGCATGCAATTACCAGCAACGCAGGGCCTACTTAACCACTACACCCGAGATTTAAAACACCCGTAATTCAACACAGCTTCTCAGCATAGGGAAAAAGCTCACTTAAGTCAAATGTCACTTAAGTCACTCTAAAGCTCACTTAAATCAAAGAGGCCTTTACATCAGGCTTCATACGAACGCAGGGACAGAAGCACGAGTAGGTGAATCAGCGTTCACACGAGAGCAAACACCACGCCAGCTCCCGCAGCCCCGCCAACCGCCCCGCTCCAGTCCGCTCCAGGAGACAACGCTCGGATGAATAAGACCCACGGAACAACTTAGGCTGGCAGCTGAAGAAGAACCCAAACAAAACAAAACAAACAAACAAGCAAAAAACCCACAAACACTACAGGCAACCAAAAAAGCCCTTTGCCTCACCTAAACCAGCAGTAATTTTTTTTTAAATCAAAGGAATGTACGTAGCCTTCCTGCCCCGGCCAAGAGGCGATGAGAACGCAGAACAGTGTGAAGGGACCTGGAGCAGCCAGATGATTTCTAGAATCAGAAATTACTGCAACTAGGAGCCAGAGGGCTTACAAGCAGGCTACAGCTAAGGAAAGAATCTTTCTTAGAGGAATTATCAATCAAGTTAGTTTAGTACTGCAGTCTCACGGTGTTTCTAAAAGGAGTCAGGAAGGGTATTTTTCTGGGAATTTGGGCAACGTTCCCTCCTCCCTCCCGCACCTGGTGACAGAAACCTCAACGCAGCATCCACACAACGGGCTACACCCAGAGCAGCACGGACTTTCACAGACAAGACGCGTTGCTCGCGCGTGCGCTCACCGTGACGTTCTTGCAGTTACACCCGTTCTGCTGTAGGGCAAACTGGCTCGCTGTAGCCCAGCAGGTATAAGCATGATTTACTGTAATTAACTACTGTTTTGGAACAGCCAGCTTTACCAAATGAGCATAGTTTCTTTCTTGTACCGCAGGTAGGAATAATTTGACACTACAAAGTCACATTGCTGTTGAGAGTTGAAAACGGACTGTAATTGTACAGTGTCATTTTCCAGAACGATTTGGGGTAAGAGATGTGGGAAGGTGAATAATCAGATACTTTGCAGTTGACAAAAGAATTTTATCTTGTACATCCTTTTTCATCTAGGACTTTTAAAATATAGTCAAGACAAATTAAATGCTGTCACCCCATGAAGGCAAACAAAGATTACATGCATTTTACAGCTGAGTAAACTGAAGTACAGAAGTGAACGAAGCTGTCCGAGGCCAACCTTATTCGGGGACTGGATCTCTTCCTTTCTCCCCCTGCCCCGCAAACACACGCCCAGGCATCTGTCATCTGTTACCACCCAGAGGTGAAGCAAACTTTCCCACTGCAGAAGCTATTGTCTAACAGTGATGGCAGGAGCCAGCACTTCTGTGTTCTGTTTCCAGCTCTTTTATCTACTCTTTGATTTATGTGCATGCGTTTTAAGTATTGTAAGATGGCAACACCGTCTCTGTGCAGAACGTACGGGCTTCAGCTCCCACTGCAGTCGGATTATGGAGGCAGAATTAGCAGAGTATTTGAGGTGGCCATTGCAAAGTGGAGTAAATTCCAAGTTGAAAGATTTTAATTTGCATTTCTGTTTTGGTCCGTTTAAGTAAAGCGTTTAAGTAAAGATCTCAGATGAGATTACGTAAGTGGATTATGCATAAAATCCCATCTAAGCTGTACATTTTTAACACCTTTCATTTTTGGACACTGTCAGTGGACCTATGAACATTTAAGAGAACCACTACAATGCTGTACTTGCCAGACAATTTCCTTTATGTTCTTGTGAAGCCAACTCCATCTTAGGCAAATCCTTCAGCGTTTTGGTTTCAGTGACAACGTGCCCTAGATTTATACATCGCCCACCTTCTCCTGAACAGAGGAGGAGCAAGATGGCGGCTGTGGGCCTCTCACTGCATGCTGCTTCTCCAAAAAGCCTTTCCATCTTGAAGTTTTAGAGACTTCTAAAAGTTGCTGATTGTACTAAATTTGAAACTGCTCTCTAACAATAAGAAACTTGGACTTCATTTGAAGTGACGTCACCACCTTCCCCAGCATTTCAGTGTAGACTGAAGAACCCCCCCAGGGCCTCAAGTTCATCTTTGCTACATTAAAATATAATTAACAAATATACGACTTTTGAAAAGTAAACAATGCCTCTTCTCTCGAAATGACAGATAGAGTATTTAAGGGTTCTGCCAGTACATTAAGATATATGCTTTTTGTAACGCTTAGGTCTAAGCATCAACTTCGCACAATGCAACAGAGATTATTCCAACCGGCTTTTTTCATTTGGTCATAAATCTTTTCATTTGAAATTTGGTTGTATCGTATTACAGTGACAGTTGAGGCTCTAAAAGACCACATTTGAAGTATTTACTGGGTGTAAAAAGTGGAAGAACTACATACAAGATACAATGGATCTTTTAAATGGAAAGGATTAACAGATACAACCACTCTGTTCCCCAGCAACCCATTAACACGTTCCTTTCTAACCCACGTATGTATCTTACTCCACTAATCAGCACTTGAGTTCTTCATACATTTTTGGAGGGAATTTTTTTGAGAATCCATTCTCTTTTCCTCAGGGAACTCAAGAACCAGGTAAATGTGAGAGAGAAATACAGATTTTCTCTCACAAGAATGTCTAAAGACATGTTGTGGTCTGCTGAGAAATAATTGGTGCTAGGTCTCTTCATCAAACATTTAAGAAAAAGACAGAAAAATTCTACTTGCGTCATTTAGAGGGGTGAGGACTTTCGCAGCTGAGGCAGGAAAAATTTTATTGCATTTTAAAATCTCTTTATGCCCTAGTGAAATCAAGTACATACACCCAAGACATTTGCTTTAACTCACTCCTAAATGACTCACAATGAATCTCTGTTTTGGTTCAAGACACAAGTTCCAGAAACTACAGATGATGAAAGAGGAAAAGAAAAGGGAGGGGGAAAAAAAAAACCCCCACTATTTCAGGTACACAAAACATAACAAATTGCTGATTAAAAAGTGGAAAAGGAGGATGATGACTAGCTGTAATCAGGAGAAAAGGAGAAATGTATTTGATACAATTCAGCGTTTGGAGAGGGTTGCCTGGAAAGAGGTATGTTTTTATGTTCTCATTTCTCTCCCAAGGACTAATGTACGAGGGATTCTCTAGCAAAGAAAGAGTAATAGAGAAGACTATAAGAATATTTCTGCCAAACAAAGACGACAGGCTATCAGCAATTTGGTTACAAGCCAAAGACAGAAAATTCTGAGGCAATTAAGAAAAACACAAATGCATGCACACATAAAAAAGAGTTAGGCCAAAATTAAGCACTCATAGTTGAAGGCCTCAGGTGAAGCACGGTATAAAGGGATGTGCAGCTCAATCTAAATAAGGTATCGTCACATAGTACGTGGGCACATATAAACTGAGAAGGCATACACAAGCCTGCAAAATACAGCAAAATAAATCACATATCAATGAGGAGTAGGCAGAGCAGCAATGAATGGCAGCATCATCTGGGAAACCTGCAAGATACTCCAACTCAGTGAAGGCTCACAAAGGCTTGAAGCCAAGAAAAGAGAACTTC